AAAAGTGCCCAAAATGACACACCCTATTGTGCGCGTCCTCTCCTGGTGTAAAATGGTCCAAAGAGGTCCACTCCGGTGCTCTGCCATGGATGCTCTGCTTGTCGAACTCTGTCTGAAGGGAGGTCGGCCAATGGCCATCTTTTGTATCTCCACAGGCCGCATACGTCTCCGGCAGCTGATGCATTGTAGGAGACATCTCCTGACTGCCGCGTTGGCCCTGATGACCCAGAATTTCCTCCGCAACTCGGCGAGTACGTGCTGTCTTCCCTCGTGTCCAACCTTCTCATGAATGTCCTGTATGAGAAGCTCCGTTACTCTTCCCTCGCTCGGCAGGATCAAGGGATGTCTGCCGTCATACTCCAGATCGGTGGCGTGCTGTAAACGGCCTCCCACCCTCAGCAGACCGGCATCGTATTTGGGATCCAAGGAGACGATGCTGCTGGACAACCGTACTTCCTGACCCGATTGAAGCCTTTTCATCTCTTCCGCGTACGACGCGGTCTGCACCTGCTGTACAATGACTCGTTCAGCTGAATTCAGTTCGCTTAAGTTCAACTCGAGCATTGAAGCGGAACTGTCCCTGTTCAACAGTTTCGAAATGACACGTCGTATCCAAGCAACACCCCGTTTCAAGCGTTCCCATGACGAATAATACGCTGCTAGCGTCAGAACCGGACTTTGTTTCTGGTCACATGCACTTGCTGAAATGGAATGTCCCTTGCTTGACCTCAAGCTCGTTTAGATTTTCTTGCAGTTCTGGCAGCCGGGGCCATTGCTCTTGCTGTTGCAATAAAAAATGGGGTCCATGTCTCCACATGTTTTGTTCCATCAGGGTGGTAACTGGTAACATTGCATCCGCGTGACAGCAAGTCGGCAGGATTTTCTTCCGACGGGACCCATTTCCACTGGTCAACCGTGGAGCCATCCCTAATAACTGCCAATCGATTTGCCACAAACACGTGGTACCGTGCCGTCTCATTTTGTATATAGTTGAGAACCGTGGTACTATCGGTCCAAAAATAAATACGTGGTCGAACATGGAACTGGAAAGCTCGTTCGATTTCCAAATTGACCTTGACGGCGAGTGTTGCCGCGGATAGTTCCAGTCTTGGAACACTCAGGGGCTTGATAGGAGCCAGGTGGGATTTGCTGAGCAGCAAACAGCAGGATATCCCGCCATCCAGGCCTTCTGCTCTCAGGTAGGTAACTGTTCCGTACGCTCTTTCACTAGCATCTGAAAAATGGTGGAGTTCCAATACCTTGGCTTTCGCTAGACCACCCGGACAAAGGCATCTCGGGACACCATACCGGTCGATAATTGTCAGGTCCGTTAGCCACCGTTTCCACTCCTTGCAGTGTCCAACGGGCACGTCTTGGTCCCATTCTAAGCACAGGCGAGTGAGGTCTTGCAACAGCATGCGAGCTTGCATGACAAATGGGGCAGCGAGGCCTAGAGGATCAAAAAATGCGGCCGTAGCTGACAGAATCCCCCTCCGTGTGACTGGCTTTTTGATAAATTTGTCCATCTCCACGCTGTAGCCAAATTTATCTGACTGAACGTTCCAACTAACACCCAGGGCTCTATCCATAGGGAGGGTGTCGGATACCAAATTCAGATTTTGAACCTTGGGCGATCGGTCGTTGTCCGGAATCGAACCCATGACCAATGAGCTGTTACTTATGAATTTTGTGAGATTGAAGCCTCCTTGTGAACATAGCAGCTTGAGGTTGGATGCCAAGTTTATGGCATCTTCTTCTGTCCTTGTCGATACGAGACAGTCGTCCACATAAAAATTATCCATGACTGTCCGAGGCACTTCCGCTTCATACGACGATCCGTGTTCTAAAGCCGTACGGCGCAGGGCAAAATTTGCACAGCTAGGTGAGGACGTTGCACCGAACACGTGAACGGTCATTCGGTATTCTCTCGGATCCACCGTTATGTCCCCATTAGGCCACCATAGGAAACGCAAGAAATCGCGTTGAACTTTCGGAACCTTCACTTGCAAAAACATTCCCTCAATGTCTGCCATCAATGCGATGGGCTCTTGGCGGAAACGTAGGAGAATATCTGACAAAGAATTTGCAAAATCAGGGCCCTGTAGCAGTTCTTGGTTCAAGCTAGTGCCCTTAAACTGACAGGCACAGTCAAAGACTACACGAATTTTATCCTTCTTCAGTGCATTCTCAACTCCATGATGAGGCAGGTACCAAATGCAACCCTTCTTTTGGCCCACATTTTCTGGCACAACTTCAGCGTACCCCCTTTCTAACAGTTTCTCCATCTGCCGTGTATATTCTGCCGCGAATGCTGACTGGCTTTGGAACTTTCGTTTCAGCTGATCAAGGCGCTTATAAGCCGTCACCTTATTGTTGGGTAGGTCAGGCTCGACATGACGGAAAGGTAAGGCTATTTCGTACTGGCCATCGCGGCTTACACACGATGATTCAACAATGGAACACCATCTTACATCTTCTGCGGACGGACCCACCTTGTATTCGGCTCGGTTACCGTAGCCGTCTTCATTAAATGTAGCGTGTATTTGGTTCACTTTGAAGCGACTCGCCGAGGCCCTCTCTGCACCTCCCAAAACCCAACCATATCTGGTCCTTACGGCGAATGGGCCGCCGTCCTGACCGGGAATGACTTCAATCGGCTCCATAGCCGCTGACACGTTAATTCCGAGAAGAAGGCCTACTTCACCCTCGACTCTTTCCTCGATATGCACTCCTCCGTCCAATAGATATTGCCACTTGCTTGTATCGACTGATGTTGGTGCATCGTCGCTAGACACGGGGATTCTGTTCAGAACAAACAATGGAGGCAGTTCTAATCTGTGATTGTACTCCAAGTCTTCTATCACGACATGAGAAACGATGCATGTATCCAGTTGCTGATCAGTACTTATGGTAGACAGAGTGACGGACGCGCGTTCGAGCGGAGGAGCACGCAGTTTTTCAAGTAACCGTTTTGACACAAACGAGTGGGTGCTCCCCGAGTCCAGGAATGCGGAGGTAAGGGTTGTGACACCAAACAAGCTAACATGCACAGGTACAACCTGTAACTTCGCTCCGCCCCCGGATGCCAGGTGTCCAGAAGTAATGGTAGGCGTTAAATGCTCCTTTCGATTAAAATGAAGAGCAGTGGGATGTAACCCTTGGCATTTGCTACATGTTTTTCTTTCTTGACAGTGTTTTGCGATATATGATCTGCGCGCAAGCAGCCGAAGCATAGCCTATTGGAATAGATGAAGTCAAGTTTGTCGTCTCTTTTCTTCTGGTCGAACTGGGAACATTCCGCGACATCGTGATTTTGCTTACACAGAAGGCATTCCATATTTTGAGGACCATAGGCGTAGGAACAGGGGGGGCCGGGGGGGCCATGGCCCCCCCACTTTTTAGCCATTTTTTAAAGTAAAATCTTTATTTTTTATTTAAATACAAAACTAAGAGCAGGAAATGATTCAGCAAGGTGAGATGAGCACAAAACTGCAAAGAATTTCTTCATAGGGGTATTGGGGCTCCCACAAAGTGGCATTGAAGTTTCGCTGGCCCCCCCACTTTTCGTGAGGTTCCTACGCCCATGTTGAGGACTTACGTTACCAGCCAAAAGCTTCCCTTTTGTGTTAAATCCCGTTTCTGATCTTCTCTCTCTATACATCGGTTTTGTCTCTGACTGCATTGTTAGATGTCTTCCATAGGACGGGTTAGACGCAATTCGAGCCTCTCTTTCAATAAACTGGACGAAATCTTTGAATTCAGCGCTTCTAAGTTCGGATTGTTCAATGTCATCGACCTTTACTCTCCATTTATCCCTCATGAGCTGCGGCACCTTCTCCAATAGCGATCGAATTGTTTTCACATCGACAGAGCCCACCCCATGAGGTAGACTTCCCAGTGCGTTCATAGTTCCCCTCAGCTGAATCGCAAACGTCTCCAAGCCTTCTACGTCATCTGCCTTCACACTGGAGTATCTCAACAAATTTTCTACAAGTCCGGCTGCTACTTGAACTGGACAGTGGACTCCCATATCGACGGTCCAGCAAACTCATGGCTTCCGCAAAGCCTCGCTCAGGTGGCAGATGCAAGCATGTGGCTACGATTTCTCGTGGTCTTCCAACAGTATATTGATGCAAGTAATGTAATTTCTCCTCCTCATGACTGACTCTTGACACTATATTACTGTGAAAAGCGCGCATGAAGCATTTGTATTTGCCTACTTCTCCATCAAAAGTTGACATTTCTAAATTCGGTAGATGAAACCGCTTCGCAAGATCGAAGAATGGTGTGCATTCGGAGCTCGTAGGGTGCACAACTGTCATATTTGGCCCACGTTCCTTGACCTGGTTAGCATCGAATTGTGGGTTCCCAGTGACAGACTCTGCGGAATTTTCGCTGTGGTTATATCCAATCCCCATTTCTTCTGTTTTCCAAACCGCTTCCCTTGCCATAACTTCTCCAATTTTCGCCTCCAGTTCCAGGGTTTCCTGTCTGGCTCGAATTTCATTCGCCTCCCGATCGAGTTCCTGTTTCTTTCTAAAAAAACGCAGCTCTAGCTTGGAGACCGGCGAGTTTTACTCTTTCCGAGACAATAGAAGAGGCGGCTGCCGAAACACAAGACTCATTATCAAATTCAGAACTCGCCGCGTCTGGAATTTGAGCATGATCGGTACTAGGATTGTGAATCGGTGGTGCTGGTATCTTTGTTTCTGCAGTCGGGAGTGTCCTAGTTTCTCGTACCTCTACGGGATCGTAACCTTGAACCTTTACCGGAGGAGTTTCATCATTGAGACATGCCTCCAATCTTTGTATCAGAACTGCCTTAGTTCCCTGAGTATCTTGACCCATCTTGTCGAGCGCAATCCCCAACTGTCCTAACGTCCATTTGTTGAGTTTTCCCGACGTATTAGCAGAGGAAGGCAGGTGCAGAAAAGACGAAACGACAGCGAATTTAAATTAATTGAAATAATAACAGCGATATCATTGAAACGGGACCGTACCTTGCGTTCAGCTTCTCGTCGTCCGCTTACTTCATGATTTCGGTCGAGTAACAATCCAAAACTGTTGTCGCCGCCGCCCTCCAATACACAGTTGTCAAATTAGTCCATGTATTCCAACTGGTTTTCTGAAAATGTTGAAAAACACTATCAATTGCGATGAAGATAAACATAAAACCATAAACACATACACAATTTGGACTATGAAACAATGTTACAAGAATACAATAGGCTGGTTGTTTCAAATCGTTTCACTCACGGATTGTTTCGGCTCAGGCTCTTGGGCGACAACTTGCATTTATCGTTTCCTTTTCGTTTCGTTTCTTCAATTTTGCTTCGTATTTTCGTTCGTATTTCGTTCGTTCGCTTCGTATTTCGTTCTTTCGAATCAACAGAACAGAAGACAAAGATAACTTAAACAACACAAATCTAACTTAAACTAACATATCTCAGCCTACTTAATATTTTCTTTTTGACTATGAATCGCGAGACAGAACTGGTAAACGAACAAAACGATGGAAGGCATGTGCAAAACGTGCCTAACAACTTGCATCTTGACGAAGAAATTTATTTGCGGATTCGGCACTAACAATATATATATATATATATATATATATATATATATATATATATATATATATATATATATATATATATATATATATATATATATATATATATATGACAGTTAGTATGCGAAATCCGCTAGTTTGCAACGCAACTAGTTTCGTTGCAAACTACCTGACCGGCCAGGTAGTTTGCAACGTAGTTAGTAACGTTGCAAACTATCTGTACTTTGTATAATGTATTTGTATTTGTTTGTATTTACATTTAAGAGCGATCCACATACAAAGTGCGTGGCGATTTAGTTTCGCATACTAACTGTAACATATACCTATATCATAGGCGGCGGAACGGGGGTGGCACCGGGGCATCGTGCCCCCTTGATTTTGGCATTTTAACCCTCGCCCGTAAACGGTGTTTTGCCACCTTCGCCCATGCAGGGGGGGGGGGCGACCCCCCCCCCCTGGCGTTTGAAAACGGAGCGTCGTAGAGCTTAGCGGAAAAAACCAACGGATTGCTCTCAATGAGATCTCGCGATTGGTGGTATATTTTTTGGTCCTAGGTCAACATTTGACCTACTTATGACCGGTCAAAGGTCAACTTTTCGGAAAAATCTATTTGTTTCAGATTTCCGCGCCGATTGCGGCAAAACGGAAAGAGATGTCGACTTGAAACCTTCACTATCGTGTTTCTTGATCAATTCTCTATCGTTTGGTGTGTATTTCGATGTCATAACTCTAAAAATGATGCGTTGGGAGCATCGGAAGTCTGCAAGGTCATTTGTGCATTGGGTCACGTCAGGCGTGTGACGTCACTGACCTGACCCTGACCCAAAATGAACTACAAGAAACAACCGACGATGCCTGAAATGGATAGCAAATTCGAATTCAGGGCATCAAAATACCCCGAAAAGGCATACAAGTGCAAGAAGTCATTACAGGTCAACCGAGGTCACTGACCTTACCTTGACCTTAAGTAACCTTCAAAATGTCAACGGACATTGTGCCAATGTCAAATCAGCCAGTTGTGATTCTAAAACAATCCATCAGTGTGTCAGGTCAGTCGGCATTTATACCAATGTGAAGCAATCTCCAATTTAGCGTAAACCTGGCCGGAGGTTGTTCCCTTTATGACGTCATAACTCCGTGACCTGACATGACCTTGACAAACAAACAACAAAAGTTGCGCAAAGGATGCCCCAAAGGGTACTGAAAATATGAGCAGGCTATCTGAAACGGTTCGGCGTGTAGCTAAGAAAAACCTCAGGAAAGAAAAACCACCAACCCCCCCCCCCCTACATGGGCGAGGGTTAACATTAGCCCTATGGGTGTTGCATGGAAAGAATGGGAACAAAAGGGCAGTGCCCCCCCCTCCCCCTGAAGGTGTTCCGCCGCCATATATATATATATATATATATATATATTATCAACGGGTATAATTTTAATTACCTTAAAATTATCCCAGCTAACAATTTGCCGTTGTTACAACGTCGTTTAAACGTTGTCAAATGGTTACCACAACGTTCCGATTTATCGTTGTGACAACGTAATTTTGTAGACTCCAGACAACGGCGTGACAACGTCATCCGACCATGCATTTGAATGTCATCACAACGTTTCTGTAACGTGGCCGTGACGTCCCAAAACCGTTCTTACAACGTCCCGCCAACGTTATGAAATGTTTTCTGTAACGTGCCAACAGTGTTTCTGGAACGTTGTAGTCATGTTGCGGAAACGTGACTACAAGGAGTATAGAACGCTCTGGCAACGTCTCTGCGACGTTATCACGTACGCACCACGTTGTCGCTACTTCGTATTGCCGTCCCTGCGACCCTGAGTAAACGCAAGTAAACGTCCTAAACATTTCGCAACGTCCTCTCAACGTGTTCGCAACATACTCAGAATGTGTTTCCGACGCTCTCTTCCCGTTCTCTAGACTTGTAAAAAAGGCATGCAAGAAGTGTACATTTCAATACATCACACAGGTCAATTTACAAAAAAAAAAAACAGCGGCGGCATCGGTGATGGGGCATGGGGCCCAGGGGCGGCCCCATGGGGGCGACGCGTGGGACGGAATTGGGTTCTACCGGCTCTAGCGCTAGCCGCTAGCACGCCAGAACTGGTGGAAGTTCACTTCTTCACTAACCCTCGCTGGGAGGATCACTCGGAAGACCGTTAGGCACCGGCTCATTTGCGGCCTCGATGTCCCTAGGCAGCTGGCAGTGCCTGACCAGACGGTCTGCGCACCCCCCGTTCCGGTGGCGCAGCTTCCGGACAGCCACTTCGCTACCGCCTTGCCGACAGTAGGCCTGCCACAAGGCGCGCTGACGAGTTGCAGGACGTCTGCGGGAAGACATGAGGGAAAATCAGACATATTCAGTTCATGAAAAAATCACAAAAATACCTGCACCACTTCCCGTAACAGTGCGACAGGCTAGATCAAACATGTCAACACCTTAGAGGCTAGAGCTACAATGAACTATAGCCTAGACCGCACGATATTACAAGGCACAATCTTGCAAATGCTACTCGTAAATGGTACTTTGACTTACCAGTCAAAGCAAAAATCATATCAAATGCAGACAACTGGCGCTATCTTCCATCTTCCAGCTATCTCAGCCGCGCCCGCCGCCGGCCCTCACCGCTCGCTCGCGCTGCGTAGACTATAGGGCCTTGCGTAGACTGCGGCTCGGTCGGCTGGCTCTGAACGCCGGCCGGTGACACTGACGTCACGGCCCCTCCGGCGAGGTCAGGGCGGGCCACCGTTCGCCAGAGTGGCGGCCCGCGTGCATAGGCGGCGGAACGGGGAGGGCACCGGGGCACCGTGCCCCCCTTTGATTTTGGCATTTTAACATTAGCCCTATGGGCGTTGCATGGAAAGAATGGGACCAAAAGTCGGCAGTGCCCCCCCCCCCTTAATTGAAGGTGTTCCGCCGCTACTGCCTGCGTGGCTTGCTGGCAGCCGCGGATAACAATAACAGCCGCGTTTACATAGGGATAGTTGCAAGCCTAGTCTAGCTCCGCCTGTGATGTTGCAAAACATGCCAATGACGCTTTGCAATTTACACATGTTATATATATATATATATATATATATATATATATATATATATATATATATATATATATATATATATATACATATATATATATATATATATATATATATATATATATATATATATATATATATATCGTTAAACAGCACCGCAGTTTTGGTGCGACCACTATCGCTTATTCATCCAAGAGGCCATATACATCAGCAGACATAAGCCACCACTTAACATACAGAGATACACCAACATCTCACTGGCGCTCTGGGGTGTATGATCCTGATGGGAAAAGTGATGGGGAACGGTCCTTATCGGCCCTGTTCAAGTGCTCCAACCGAATAGCTGGAGACTGTGCGTTATGAAAAATGGTTGACTTTGTTATTTGTATGACGTATGTGTCATTAGGTATGCATTACGACTCAAGGGAGTTGGAAATGATGAAAAAGTGGAAAGTTAAAGTGATTCAGTGACCCAGTATAGTGAAGTGTAAGTGTATATGTATCTTCGTCACCTGCAATATTTGTAACATGGCTATTTTCAATATTTTGCAACTCAAAATAGCTACACTGACGACCATGTTTAGCGGTACTTTTTAGTACATTCCTTGAAAATGATTGTCTCAAATACAATCGAAACGCGTCGGAAAACATGACTTAAATGAGTATAACCGATATAATCAATACAGTTCCTGATTCAATCAAGAAAACTTTCAACAAGATACAAAAACTTAACAGAAAACTATCTAAAGCCAAAACTGCGGTGCTGTTTAACGACATATGCCTCAAAGAAAATATCCTGCCCAAATACTCTGATATATATATATATATATATATATATATATATATATATATATATATATATATATATATATATATATATATATATATATATGTTAGAGAGAGTCGAGAGAGAGAAAGGTATCAGAATTTACTTGTAAAAGCACCGCTAATTATTCAGTAGGTACCTATAATGTCAAGGTTGTGAAAACCGTTTTAACCCGCGACCTGGTGGGGGGGGGGGCTATTTTTTGCCCCCCCCCTCCAGACTTTTCGATATATCTGCAGAACCGCTGCGCCAATCGTCACCAAATTTTCAGTACCCTCCCGGACATCAATTTTACACATTGTGACCAAGAATTTTTCCAACGGCTATGATAGGTTGGCCGGAAATGACGTCAGAGTGACGTCATGTTCTGCCGTTTTCGACCCAAAAAAGGGTTTTGCGGGAAGAGCTGCCAGGCCTATAGCTTTGCAAATACAGAAAAATGATAATGACGTAAGAGCTGTAGAATTGACAGGGCTACAAAACTGCTATCTCGGATTTTTGAATTTTTTGGATTTTGACCCCCAAAAATCAAAAAATAGATTTTTTGGATATAATAGTCAGAAAATCCAAAAAGTTTTTTGAATTTTGCAAAAACCGGAATATATGTGATAGTCCTTACCGCCTTCCATCCACATACCAAATTTGAGATTGATACCTCTTTTTTGGCGAAGTTATAGCGAAAAAACTGTTCAAAATTTAAGACGTCAAATTTTCAAACTCAATTTTTAGCAATTATAGACCCCGTAGCGCAAAACAAAGACCACCATTAGACTCCCCGTGACGAGCTGCATCGAATCAATACCCATTTAATGCAAAACTATCAACTTTAAAATTTGACCTTTTTTGACCTGACCTTGACCTGACCTTGACCTGACCTTCACCAGAAAGTGACCTAAGCCGTACCTGATAGTCTTATAACCAACACCATTGAGTTGGAAATGAAAAATTGGCCATAAAACATGCATCACACAACCTTAGTAAAGTTGGGTTCATGTGACCTGACCTGTGACCCTTGGTGACCTGACCTTTGACCTGACCTGGTATTGTCAGTGACCTCTAATAGCAACATATCTACTAGGCAACTGACGCCCTATCGCTGATTCT